GTTTTGTTTTTACATACATACATATATATATATATATATATATATATATATATATATATATATATTTATATATATATATATATAGTGAGAGAGAGAATTTCATCAGTTAGGATTTGTTAATATATATATATATATATATATATATATATATATATATATATATATATGAAGAAATATAGTTTTAAATATAGTCTCAATATCAGAGATAGAGCGTGTGTAAATATAAAAGTGAACATAGAAGTCGACACTTAGAGGCGACAGTCTGTTTCATGTTAGATGCAATATATATGTGTGTGTGTGTGCATGTGTGTGCATTTAGACAGCAAATTCTCTTTTAGGCATGTCTGACTGAACAAATTACAAATGTTATGTTGAGTTATTTTTATCATAATCCTTACATATTCACGAATATTTTTCCGTATATTACAATCAAATGAGGCAAGAAATGCACTGTAACAGTAAAAATCACTTTTATATCCCTGATGATGATGATCTCAGAAATAGATGTGAATCATTTGGGAAATAAAAGAAATATTCATGAATATGAAAGTATTAAGATAAAAATGACCAGACATAGTGTTTGTAATTTATTCAGTCATATATATATATATATATATATATATATATATATATATATATATTATATATATATATATATATATATATATATATTAGAGATGCTCTTAAATTGAATATTTCTGCATGCTCCAAAATATATATTTAACAGTCAATAAATAACATAATTTAAAAAAAAAAACATCTTTCTGTCTACACATATTTTGTGTTGGTGTTTGTCTATGCACCCTGAAGATGACAATTTCAAATTGTTGTATATATATATATATATATATATATATATATATATATATATATATATAGGATTAGCAAATGGATGACAAAGTTGAAAAGATTATGTGTAACGCGATTCGTTTTCTAGAAAGACTTGATCAATCTAAAGTATTGTTTTTGTTTATGGATGTAAATATACGTAAGAAGTGTGGGAAGATATATAAAAACTTAAGTGTCAGTTATAATTCTGCACCGATAGCAAAAGCATGAAAATTTAAGTTTTTAAATTTGTATTTTGACTCGTATGGGCACGTAGCCTAACCGATTTTTTTTGTATTTATGTAACTGCGACATAAAAACTAAAACGAAATCCCTGAAAACGTATGTAGCAATATTCGAAAGTACTTGCAGAGGGGGAGTGTAATACAGAAAATAAAGATGAACTTTGATAAATTTACGTATTATATAAAACAGCTTATTCGGATATATACATGTTTTCTTGTAAATTGTACATGACGCTGAAAGCGAAAACATTAGGTTCATGTGTTATTTATACCAATATTAGTATATATGAAAGTATGCTATTACTGATAATAGTAATAACATATTCTCTGAAAAGTGCAAGTTATCCGTTATAAAAAGAACAGATAAAAGTAATTAAGACAAGACACTTGCAAGTTGTAAATAATTTATGAACAGGCTAGAAATTACAACAGACATTTTTCATACATTTCCATGTTTGGTCACCTCGTTTTCAGAAATATGTGAATATTGATTATTACTTTTTTGTATTTTTCGTTCTTTGTAAAATCTGTAATATTTTTTGCATTATCAGAAATAATGAACCGCGAATTTTTCATAAAAACCTAATTGTTATAACATAAAACAAAGGCTTTGTTCAGGTTTTTCTTGTTTCACAAATTTGTTTTCCTGCTCTACAAATGTTTTCTCAGTGCATAAGCATTCCAAAAACATTCGTATTTTGCATCTTGAGTTGATGTAGCTAACAGCTTCTGTCTCAATTATTTTGTAAGTACCTCTGACGATTCAAGAAAAGGCACCGGGGTGACTCATTGTGGTGATATGATTAGTTAACTAGCTTAGCAGGCTATGACTACTGAAGTCAGATAGGTCTTTAACGAATACAACAAACGATTTGCTTCGTATTAAACTAGGATTAAATTTGGAATTATCCATATTAATTAATATTTAAATTATCAAAACAAAAAAGAGAATCTAAAAATTATCCCGCAACTTTACATATGTTGTGAATATGATAAACAATATTCAAAATTAGGTGATCATGTATCTTTCGATACATGACTGACAAGGCAGATTTTTCCCGCAGTAGGTTGCCATTTCTTTCATTTGGTAGACCAAATGCCATCCAGGGCTACAGAAGGGGGAGAAGAAGAGGATTCATACCTTTCCCAAGGGTATTAGCACGTAAGTGAATATAACGGATTTGACTGGAATTCAAACTCGGCTCTACCGATTCCCCCATGCGAGCCGCTATCCATTACTCCACCGTGCCTCCTCTTTGAATTAAAAAATTGTGAAATCCAAGTCTGATGTTAATATTAAGAATAGTTTACTGATCATTTACAGTAACATGCATAATATTCACTAGTTGTTCGTTATCGTGTATACCCGTCAGATAGGGCAGCTAGCTAATCACAGTGTAGACACACACTCAAGATCATTTGTATTTCTTCAAAAGTCATGTTATGGTTTATACTGTAACTATACCGAGAATACTTTAGCGCAAAATTTGGCGCGATCAATAGTTGAACAAAGTCAGTAGTCTCTAATTCTGTCAGGATGACATGCGAATTTTTCCTACCAGAAAAATCCTCGGCTCCTAAAATGTTTATCCAATTTCACTCAGAGGGCTTTCGTCAAATCGTGGTATGACTTTCATGTCCTTCCACGTACGCTAGAATCGTCCTCGAAAACCGATATTATCAAACATTACGTGTATGCAAACGTGAATCTACATTCATTTTAAACTATCCAAAGGTTTAATATAAACGCTACTCTGGTCATACAGTGTAACCCGGATATAAGAGAGTTGTCGGGACCGGAGAAGAAGTCTCTTATATCCGGGTTTCTCTTATATCCGCGTTTGGTCTATTTTGTTTACATTAACACAGGGTCTAATTTGGGACCAGAGAAAATTTCTCTTATATCCGGGTTTCTCTTATATCCTGGTCTCTTATATCCGGGTTACACTTTATTTATAATTTAAATGTCAACTGATGTCCTTGTAAGCGACAAACGATAGTCGAAAGTATTCAAAACACATGGTTTCAGCAATTTCTTTACATATTTTCACCTAACGTAAAATGGCTCATTCCATACCAGTAAAAACAGACCGAAAGAAAGTTATTCTCTATCCTTTCTAATCATAAAAATATATTTTAACGAAGGATTTTTGTTTAAATATACTATTTTTAAGCTTGCAAATCTGTACACAGAGACAACTGTATGTATACATACATGCATATAAGCAATAATATATATATATATATATATATATATATATATATATATATATATATATATATATATATATATATATATATACATATGAAAATTTCTCAGAGATAAACTGTAGAAAAGACAATATTTATAAATATAAATAAAAATAGGAAAACTGTAATAGTTGCTGACGCGTTTCGTTCAATGTGGACTTTCTCAAAGCAAAAAAAAACAAAAAACAAAAAAAAAAAAAAACGAAATGAATTTATTTAAACAAAGTAACTAATAATAATAAGGTCATTTTGTTTTTGTTATTATTAGTCATTTTGTTTAAATAGATTCATTTCGTTTTTTGCCTTGAGAAAGTCCACATTGGACGAAACGCGTCGGCAACTATTACAGTTTTCATATTGTTAATTATATTTATACATACATACATACATACATACATACATACATATATATATATATATATATATATATATATATATATATATATATATATGTATATATGTATATCTATATATATATATATGTATATATACATGTATATATATATATATATATATATATATATATATATATATATATATATATATATATATATATATATGTATATATATATATATATATATATATGTATATATATATATATATATATGTATAAATGTAAATGGATATAGATCCGACAGAATGAAGAAAAATTTGGAAAAAACAAACCAAAAATCCTTAAATGCAATTATGTTGTTTAAAATGAATGAAATGTCGACGTCTGATGTTTCGGTTTAATAAACCTTCGTCAGGACAATATTCATTAAAATGTGACCATGCTAAACGGAAAGCTGATCATTTTAAAAATTTTCAGTTATCTGTTTTGGATAAGACTTGTTTTTTATGTCCATCGTCTTTGTCAAATTGAACTGAATTGTATTTTAATGAATATTGTCCTGGAGAAGGTTTATTAAACCGAAACGTCAGACGTCGACATTTCATTCATTTTATACAACATAATTGCATTTAAGGATTTTGGTTTGTTTTTTTCCAAATTTTTCTTCATATATATATATGTATATGTATATATATATATATATATATATATATATATATATATGTATATATATATATATATATATATATATATATATATATATATATATATATATATATATATGTATATATATATATATATATATATATATATATATATATATATATATATATATATATATATATATATATGCATAGACGTTTAATTGGATGTATGTATATAAATGTCTACAGATGTGTATGTATCATGAATGAAGTTACAAAAAACACTTATAACTTTAAAAGAATAATCCCCTAAACCTATTTTGGGACTGTAGGCATTTAATGGGTAATCTGTAGAAACATTTAATGAATACCAGCTTTTTATAATCTTATAATGAATGCCGAATTTTAGTTTTAATAATTGATACCTGGGCATTAGGGGGTTAAAAATAATATTGTTTAATTCCATGTGGAGTTAATTATAAAACGATCGTAGGAATCATTAGTACTTGTGTTAACGTGTATTTTCTGTTGGTGGATTAATGTTTTTATAATCTGCAGTTAATAATGTTAGCTGGATAAAGATTTAATTTTATATATATTTTCTTTAATTCCATTTCTAGATTTTTTTACGAAATAAATCATTGTCAATTTTTTGGTAGTGTTAAAGTGCATCTAGTCACCGTTTATCATTTATATTTATGTCTATCTACCGATTATCATATTTTCTCTACCCTCTTCCTCTGTCCTTCTCTATCCCATCCCTTCCTCTGTCTCTTCGCCCCCTTTCTTTTTGCTTCCCCCTCTCTCTCTCTTTTAGCCTTCCCACTCTCGCTTTCTCTTTTAGCCGTCTCACTCTCTCTCTTTTCGCCTCCCACTCTCTCTCTCTTTTCGCCTCCCACTCTCTCTCTTTTTCGCCTCCCACTCTCTCTCTTTTTCGCCTTCCTCTCTCTTTTCGCCTTCCACTCTCTCTCTCTTTTCGCCTTTCACTTTTTCTCTATTTTCGCCTTTCACTTTTTCTCTCTCTTTTCGCCTTTCACTTTTTCTCTCTGTTTTTGGCTTCCAATTTTCTCTCTCTTTTTGCCTTCCACTTTTCTCTCTCTGTCTTCCACTTTCTCTCTCTATTTGCCTTCCACTCTCTTTCTCTCTTTTCGCCTTCCACTCTTTCTCTCTTTTCGCCTTTCACTTTTTCTTTCTCTTTTCGTCTTTCACTTTTTTTCTCTCTTTTCGCCTTTCACTTTTTCTCTCTCTTTTTAACTTCCACTTTTCTCTCTCTGCCTTCCACTTTCTCTCTCTATTTGCCTTCCACTTTTCTCTCTCTGCCTTCTACTTTCTCTCTCTATTTGCCTTCCACTTTCTCTCTCTATTTGCCTTCCACTTTTCTCTCTCTTTTTGCCTTCCTCTCTCTCTCTCTTTTCGTCTACCACACTCTCTCTCTCTCTCTTTTCTCCTCCCACTCTCTCTCTTCGCCTCCCAACTCATTCTCTCTTTTCGTCTCTCTCCCCGCCTATTCGTCTCTCTCCACTTTTTATTCGTCTCCCTTCTATCTATACATATCTGCATATCCCCAAAATCTGCTTTGTTAGTTTTATGTTTTCGTTTGATTTCTATCATTAAATAGGATAACAATGTAAGCGACAGTCGGATATAGCTGAGATGCAATACAATTCCCTTATTAAGAGATACTTGAGATGGGCAGTTCACTTGGTGGGAAAACGGCTATTCTATGGCCAACTTCGGAATAGAAAATGTCCTGTAGGTTTTGCCCTTTTAAGTATAAGCTGAATGATAAGATCAAGCGCTGTAACATCAACCTTAAAAGCCGGGAAAACGTAGCAGAAGCTCGTAAAGAGTGGAGAGCCACTTGTAGATGCTCTATCTTAACCCTGAGAGAAACAGATTTCATGTGTCAATGTGGATTCGAAGCTAGCAGCAAGGCAAGTCCCGTCCACCATGAAAAATTCATTACTAATTCATCAAAATATACACAGGCACTTTTTCTTAAGTACACAAATGTATTTACCTAATCCTTATTTGTTGTTCTCGAGAAGAGAAACTACACATGCACGCACGCACGCACGAAGGACGTACCGAAAGGAATTTAGAGAAGAGAAACCACACACACACGAAGGACGTACCGAAAGGTATTTATTTTATTCCTATGGAAACTACAAACGGTATAAGAAAGGTAACAACACCTTTGGATGGACCGGATTTTGCACATAGTCAACACTACAGGATAATTATTTTCTCTAGTGACTTAGTGCGCGTAAATAACAATATATATATATATTTACTACTGTACCATGGCGTTTACCTCAAGCAAAAGGATTTAAGCAAAAAAAAAAAAAAAAAGAAAAGAAATTCATCATTATTTGTCGAATCATTGCAACATTTAACTTAATTTTCTTTTTCTTTTTCGGTCGATGATTTACCCACGTTTCTTTAAATGTACGTAGTGTGATAATTTAATTTCCTGTGTGGCCCTTTGAAAGCCAATTGTACTTACCTGTTGGTATTAACTTCAAAGTGGAACTATGAATATCGTGGGAGATTGATGGCATTACGGAAAACTTGGAACGTAATTCCGTAATGCCTTACTATAAAATAGTTACTTTATTATTATTATTATTATTATTATTATTATTATTATTATTATTATTCTGGTCTATTGTTGTCCTTTCAAGAAATAGATAACGATCACAGGGGACTGAGTTTGGTGAATAAGAGGGATAGCCCATTTTTGTAAAGGATATCTTAATTAGAACCGTCATGGAGAGATCCAATCGCCAAACCAAAATTCGGGCATATTCATCAGAAGTTTCTTGCAACCTCTTAGAGTAATACCAAATAAACATGTAGATTGACAGCTTGTTCTTGTGCTAAGAATTTGTTGTAAATATACAATATAAACTTTTTCCTTATTATCAAAGTAACACAAACATTGTCATGTACTGTATATTTTTCTACTCGATGTGAATTCTTTATTTTCCACTACATGCTGCGGCATGATTTTGCAGGTAATGAACCTGTCAAACACGTTTACATTATTCAAATAATCAAAGGAAACGTGATGACGTTTCAGCTCGTGAGTCAATATTCGAGGCACTATCTTTGAAGGTTTTTTTTAAATTCCCAAATCTCCTGCTAAAATGTGCCACACTGTTTTCGTTATTTATACTCAATTTTCCTATCAATTGC